AAGATTCAATTCACATGTCCTTTTTGTTTGCTTGAAAGAAACAAAAAAAAAAAAACAACCTCTGCCCAACTCTTTTGTTCAGTTACTGCTGAGCATTTCCACTTCTCTTTGAAGAGGTGTCAATTCTGCCTCCTTGCTGTGGAAACCCACCCTCAGGTTGGATGGTACAGCCAGACTCTCCTGGGGCTGCTCCATCAGCCCAGCTCTGTCAGAAGTAGCTGGGGAAGTGTCAATCATGGTAACCAAACTGACCCCGTGAAAGCCCCCAGTCCATGGAGCTGGCAGTGTCCTGGCAGTGTCCTGGCAGTGGCTGCTGCACTGGCTATGGGGTCTAGGTAATGGAAGAGCCTTTCCTTGCTTGCTCCTGCTGTAACCAATATGTTTTCCTTTCTTTATTTTTTTTTCAGTTCTTCTCTGCAGTCTTCAAAAAGTGTGAGTGTAGGAGTGTTTCCTGTGTAAGTAGGAATCTAAGGACCATCACATGAATGGTGTTTTCTCAGAGTTTATCTAGGTCTCAGCTGTAGCACTTTCAATTTCTGCACAGTTTGGTACAATCACTTATTTCTTTTTATACAGAGAGCACTTTATAAGAGCATCTCCCAGAGGAACTGGTACTTTTATACAAATCCTGTTGTACTCAATCCATCCTTTTTCTTTCCTAAGTGCTAATTCTCTTGAGGAGGCTTTTTAAAATGCAGCTCTTTTCTGGAAGGCTCATCCCCTCTATCACTTAATGACCTTTTAGAGCATCTCACCAAAGAGCTGGGGAGTGTCCTTGGGTACAGTTTCACTGCTGAAAGGGGAGGTTTTCCCCTCCCTTCCAGTACTTTGCCACCCCATCCATAGCCAATATCCAGTTGCAAGGTAATCCAGGTGAGGKGTGTGACCTGTCAGGTACAAATTCTGCTGCTGAGTTTGTTTTTAGAGTTGATGGCTGTGCTGGGGGTCAGGTGAGTGCCAGGGCCAGCTCACACTGTGCAGTGGGAGCACAGGGCTGGCAGTGGGGTGATGTTGGCCCCAGCATCCCCAGTTCCCTCAGCCTCTCCTGGTGCTCCAGACCCTTCCCAGCTCCATTCCCTTCTCTGGTTCCAGCCCCTCAATGTCTTTCCTGCAGTGAGAGACCATTCAGGATGGTTATTAGGGAATTATTTTTCCTTAGACCTTGACTCTTTTGTCTTTTTAATCAATAAAATGCATAAAACCCCTTGGTTAATACAATCTGGTTTAACAACTCCTGTTTCCAGATTTGTGGATGCACTTTCTTAGTTTGAGTGCAGAATTAGCCTCTTTAGGGAGACAAGTTTAGGACTTGGCAGCCAAACACCTGTGTGTACACAGCAGTTTAAGACAAGCAAAGGAGAAAAAGCTCCTSCTTCCTAGAAACTTTGATTTCAACTGTGAAATCCTTTTGAAGAATCTTTGTGAGGGAACAGAAATAGAATGGATAGAGTTGTAGAACTGCCATTATGGCAATTACTGCCATTCAAGCAGGAAAAAAGCTAATCTGTATTTTGGTTAAAATGGAGAAGATTGTCTTTTAGATGCTCTGAATTTTTAATCTTCTGCCTTGATGTTTTGTTTCCCTTGCCCTGTCCTTCAACTGTATCAAGAGAGAAATAAAAGCTGTGCAGTTCTGCAGAAACTCTTTCTTGTCTGCTCAGCTCTGCTGTAGGATGATGTAACCCTGGTTGTWAATGAATATTAGTCTAGAAATATCTCCCTCTCAGTAACTCATGAGAGTGTCTTTTGAAATGACAGAGTTCTGTGTTCTGTCCTGGTGCGTGTGCATTGGCCTTTATGAATGCATTGATTTTTGGTTTTTCACAGGGTAGTGGAAGGATAACGAGGATTCAAAAATAGCAGTGAAGATACCAGTTAAGGAGAATTAAAAGGGGGAAAATATCTTCACTTTTGTTCTTTTATTTAGGTCTTGAGTGTACTGACTGTGCTGCAGTTCTGTGTCATCTGAGGTCTGAGCAGAATGCTTTGTGTTTGTGGAAGGTTTAAAAGCATTCCTGTCTCTGGAGAACATTTGTCACTTAGGTGGTGACTCTGTGTCAGCTGTGCCTTTGTGGTGACATTTCAGGGGAGAGAGAGGGTTTRTCTGCCCTGAGCTTCACTTTGGGGTGTCTGGGTTCTCAGTCTGATGTGTTTGGAGGTGGGAAATACCTGAAATGAGTGGAGAGTTCCCGTGCTAGATTTTAATTTTTACATCACAGGAGTTCAGGCGCCCTTTGGGGCAGGTGAAGGGGCTGAGGTGTGTCCTGCCCTCAGCTGTTCTGGGCATGGGGAGCACTGCTGGATTGTGKGGGGGAGACACATGGGTGCTACTCTGAAGGAAGTTCCTCCTTGGCCTGGGGTGGGGAAGGCTCAGGAAAACCGATGTGAGCTGAGAGCAAACACCTCAGAGCAGCTTTACAGAGAAACCTCGCCAGGGATTAAAGCTGCCTGCAGTCAGAGGGCACCTCAGCTCTGCCTTTTGTTCTAAAACTATTCCAGGAGGAACTTGGGGAGTTCTTTCCACCTTCCTCWGCTCTGCCAGGAGAGGAGAGAACTGTGSTTTAGTCAGATTGGTGGGAGCCAGTGGGAGTGAGACAGTCAGGGTGTGCAGTGGGAGCTCTGGGTGGGAGCCCTGTCCTTGTTCCTACTTTGTGGCATTTGGAATCCTGGGTAAAGTGTTTCTCTGTGAAACACTTGTGTCTCAAGATACTTCTGCATTGGATGGTAATGCCATCCATAGCATGGCCTGGCCGGCTGGGTACAACAGCACCTCCTTGTCCAGCAGCAATCCTCAGGGAATGCAAACGGGGACAAATCTGGTCATCTTTTTATTGAAGTGCCACAAATCACCTTGGCTTTTGTATGCTGGGAACCTGCARGTGAGAAATGCATCCTGTCTGAACAGCAACTGCAAAAACAGAYTTTCTGGTCCAATGTGAGAAAGACRTTAATARATCMAGTAATAATCATGATAATTACCATCTTAAAATCAGTTCACTTTGAAGCTGAACATTCACTATGTAACAAGTCAATTCAAAATCTCGAGAAGGGCGAGCTGTCAGTTTGTATGGATCGAGGGTTGGTTTGGAAATTACAGAGTGAGATGACTGCGATCTAGAGTGTAATTTTTTTTGCTAGACTGTTCATTGCATTGATACCTCTTTTTTTCCCATCTTTTTAGCTGAGTTTGATTTAGAAACAGATATTAACAGAATATCTGTAATTTTGGCTGAGCGTTGAAGCAGTTACAGCTCTTCTCACTCTGGGGTGCTTGAAATATTTATCAGTTCTGCTTCCATCAGAGCAAACTTCAAGCTTTCCTAGCCAGTGGGGAAAGATGCAAAGAGTTTCTGCTGCAGAAACCTAACAGTGTATGCCCTAATGGTGTGTCAGCAGGAAGAGTTTAAGGGTGTCTTCAAACACCTTTGTGCTGAAGTTTGTGCAGCTGTGTGTGAGCAGCAGTGTCTAGGGCAGGGTGGGGTGTCACTGACAGGAGGGCAGCTTTGTGGCACTGCTGAAACCTGAAGCTGAAACCTCAGGCTGARGGAATGTGTAATCTGGCACAGCTTTAATGAGGTTAAATATCTCGGGGTGTAAAGGGGAAATGCAGACCTTCGGAGTTTGTGTGTGGGAAATGAAGAAATAATAAGCTGAAAAGCAGGAATGATATTAARTGATGCAGATGAGAAAGGGGAAACATAGTGGAATGATTCAGAAATAAGTGTTGATACACACAAAATAAGATCTGGATGTATAAATTGAGAATCCTCTGAAGAAAACAGATATTAATTAGTGTCAGGGTTCAGAGAGTTCAGCACTAGTGTCACTGGGAAAGGTAAGGCAAAATGGCACTGTGTTTGCTTGTACAGAAGAATCYGGGATTTGTTCATACCTTGAATGCTTTGAATGCTTCTGATCATCCCATTCCTCCCAAAATAYAACAGAGAAGCAGTGACAGGGATCAAAGGCACGGAAAATTTGTTGTGAGAGGTTTGTTTGCTAAAAATAACCATTACCTCAGCCTATTTCATCACCCAGTATCAGAACTGAATGTTGATTTAATATGATTTCACTGCAATTGAAATAAACACCACACACAGTGCTCAGCTGCAGCATAAATGCAAGAACCTCTGGTTCTTCCGTTTTTTAGCRTGTCTTTGATTAATAATCTGAAATTTGTGTATGGCTTTTGTGCACGTGGCTGAAACATTTTCAACTGATGCATAAAACCCAATCTAAAAAGGCAGGCTCTAAGAAAAGGCAGGATAAGGACCCTCTATTCGGCGCAATTATTCTTCCCAATTATAGACACCGGATTTGCACCACAGATATTGCTGCACGGTGAGGGGACGAGGGGCTCGGCAGAGAGCCAGGAATGTCTCTAATAAACTGGGTCATCTCTTCTAAGGATGTTGTTATTACACTTGGGAGGTCGGGGATAAGCCGGGTTTAACCCTGCGCGCGGCGCAACTGCTGATTCAATTTGCTGRACGGGATTGCTTTTCCTTGGGAATTGATAGGCTGGATTGTGCTGGACAAAGCTTCTGCTCTTTCAGCTGTGGGCAGCAGAAGTGGGAAATGTAAAGGATTCAGCCAACAGCCAACACTGTCAAGGATAAAAMCAAGCCTTGAATCAGCAAGCTGAGAATCTGAAGAGAGGATATGAGAATTGTGTTCTGAGCTGAGTTAATGAAGTAAAAATAAGAACTGAATTGCTGGCTAACCTTCATCTATAAGTATTGTCATAAATAYGAAGCTTTCCAATATTGCCTTCTCATATTTTTTCCTGTAATTGTGAATATTGTGGTATTTGTAGGACCCTTGAGTTTTTCCTCTTGGTCCCTCATTTCCTCTGATGATATTAAGCATGAGAAGGTTATTATCTAAATTGATGGAAGCTTAGTTCCATGTTCAATGTAGRAATTCCATCCTTTCTTTTCTGACAAAAGTCATTATGTAATTTTTAAGCAGTTTATAATGCAGGAGTCAAACTTGGGTATAATCCATGTCAAGAGGATGATCCTGTAATTGAAGGTAGTTTGTGATTTCCCTAAGAAATTGCWGATAAGGCTCATGGCACAGCGTGTTGCACGAAGGCAGCTAAYGTGGAGATGGAATTTGGACATGCTGAAATGTCATTTACAGCTGGAGAGCTTAAGGGGTGACACTGATCCCATGATGCTGGTGCAGCAAYTGAGAGCAGGATGTGTAAATGATGATCCTTTGGGGTCTCTGAGATCCCACAGAGCTGCTCGCTTGGCAAAGCATAAGGGCTCCTCAGTGGTGGTGTTGGAGGAAAAAATGGCTAAAATGAAATAGAGACTCCAAAGTAGAAAAGTTAAAGTTGCATTAGCATAATTATACAGCAGTTCTGAGGTGAAAACCATTGAATAGTGATGTATCTAATAAGATTTTTATTGAGACATTTGTAGTAGGTCATCAGGATTAACATCTATCCACCTAAAATGGAAAAGATCTGACACTGCTTTTTGAAGACAATTTTTGAAGGCCAGGTGGTTTTGCTAAATTCTGCTTTTTCCATGTAAAGTCCTTGTATTGAGTATGTAAATGCTGAGCAGGCTGTGCACCCTTCAAGTTCCCTTGGGGAACTTGAGTCAGGCTCTGGCTGTCTTTAGTCCAAGGCACGATCCTCTTGCAGATCACTTTTCCTGCTGCTGAGGCCTTGCTCTGAGTTCTTTCAGAAGAATAATTTCTGAGATATCTGGAAACCCACATGGCAAGAAGAAACTTGAGCTTCCTTCAGCAACAGCTGGACTTCCTTTGGATGTTGTTCTGATTTGGCCAACACAGCCAAGTGGGTGGGAGAAGACAACCTGAGCGGGGTTGCTCCCTTACCTGTGCCCTAGCACTGAGAAGATTTGCTGGTGCTCCACAGAATTTCACAGAATATCCTGAGCTGGAAGGSYCCCCCAAGGATCATTGAGTCAACTCTTTAGTGAATCRTGTCTCTCAGTTCAGCCCATACTGGGGAGGGTGAATTTTCCCAGGGTGTTGCAGGGTTTTGAAGCTGTGCACAGTCATTATGAGGAAATTCTGTGTGTTGTGTCCGTGCTGAGCGTGGGTCACAGGGAGCACTGTGAGCTCACTGCGGGCTGTTGCAGTGGTGTRAACTCTCCAGAACCAGCAGATAATGTTATTTATTTATGTTTAAAAAACACCCACTGTCTTTTACAGGTGAAGTTGCCCCAAGCAGTCAGGAATGTGGGCTAGGCCAGGGTGCCTTGTCCTGCCATGCAGTCTGAGCATTGCTGTCTCTCCTCTCTGCCTGCCCTCTCCTCTGCACTGGGCTGCCGCAGAGCAGAGCTTTTCCCAAATCCCCATGTATTTTGCCAGCAGCTATAAAAGGAGTTATTGCTGCAGTGATCCAGGARGTTGCTGTRCTTTTGTTCCTTGAGCATGGTWTGGAGATGGAGGAGCTCYGGTCAGGCGTGYAGGGAGAGCRGWGGCAGCTCCGGGCRAAYGGGCACCGGGGGTTTGGCTTTCCCYGRGTCTGGAGCTGCACTTTTCCAGCCTAGAGCAGCCTTCAGTGTGCCAAGTGGATTCCTTTGGGATGAGCATGGCCTGGGGCATTCTGCCCGGGAGCATCTCTTTGCCAGGCTGCACGGGGCTGTGTGAGAGGGGAGCAGCTCCAGGGCGTCCAGGGCACTGCACCGGCCCTGCTCTGCCCTGGTACCACCAGCTTGGGATGGGCAGGGTGGGAACAGCCCCTCTAATTCCAGACCTGGAGGGGTGAAATGATAGCCAAGAAAATCTCTGAGTGCCTGGTAGACTTAATTAATCATGGATTCARTATGGTTGGAAAAGACCTCTAAGGTCACCAAGTCCAACTGGAGCATATTTGAATATACCTGGTGMATCTTTTTACTGGGATTCCTTTAAGAAGGCAGAGGTTTGATGCCCCTATTTTGTGTTCATACATTGAGGAGACTCAAGTGCTTCTAACRTTTTAAGAGATAGTCATTTTTAAAAGAAGAAAATTGCAACAATTACCATATTCTGAAGATTAACAAAAGCTAGAACTGGGAACTGTACACGATTTTCAAATTATCCTAGTTYTGCAAAATCTCTTTTTATTCCACCTAAAATGAGCAATCAGAATTCAGCTATTGAAACCATGAACACAGTTCAGCTACTGAAATAATGACAAATGTGGTACATGGACTACAAGTTACCAGTGCAGACTTCGTGGTTGATTTTCAGTACTCTGAATAGCAGAAGTTAAAAACATGGGTTGGTGTAAAGAAAGTGGAGATTTTGGACAAAATTCTGGGTGAAAAGTTTTTGATAAAGTTCAAACAGTGCTAGGATGTTTAGGAATTCTTTTTCAGTGTTACTCCTTTTATCACTGATCCACTATCACATATTTTGATAAATGTAGACTAAGAGTTTGGGAACTCACAGATAAACAGTGGAACCAATTTAAACGCAAGCTCACCAAATAAACATTAAAGTATTCCCTTTAGGAAGTCAGAATCCTTTGAATTATGCATGTATTGTAGTTTGCAGTAAGATAAAAGAACTTTAAAGGGGGGAGGGTGAGAAACTTGAAAAGCCTTTAAGGAGTAATTTGCATAAATTGGGTGGAGAGAGTAAACAGCACAAGGGGGAAAAAAGTTATTTTCAGTAAGGCCTTACAGAATGAGATAAAACAAATTACAGAAAAAAATCAGGTGGAGAGTTGAAACAAAGCTGAAGTGCTTTAAAGTTGTGTTAGCGCTGCCACTGCCATCAGAGCAAATCCCAGGGAACTCTGAAGTGCCCTGGATTAAAAAAAGAAATTTAGAAAAAAAATTCTTAAGGGATAGTTAGAAGAAGAGCCATGGAGACAGTACAATGTGTGTGTTACTGTATGGGAGACCTGTGGGCATGAGTGCTCTGGATAAGCAGATTTTTTTTCAATCTAACAGTATTTTTTTTATCTTGCAGTTACAGGACCGCACACAATTTAGTGACCGAGACGTAGCTACCCTAAAGAAATACTGGGACAATGGCATGACCAGCCTGGGCTCAGTCTGCAGAGAGAAAATTGAAGCTGTGGCTGCAGAATTAAATGTTGACTGTGAAATAGTGCGGGTAAGAAATCCAGAGTCTTGCCTTATCTTGTCGCAGGAGCAAAAATAGGACAGATGAAAGGCTTTAAAAATTTCATGAGGAAGCTTGAAATAGATTTCACGTATTACATAATGAATGACCATGTTGGGAAATGCTCTCCTGCTCTTTCTGGAGTCTATATTTAGTAAAAGCCCTCAGGTAAGAGTCTTATTGATCATCAGCAGAAGCAGAACTACGAGCTGTTTGACATTCTCTTGAGTAAGATTTTAAGTAAAAGTGTTACATCTTTTAGGGAGATCCTAGAAGACTGAAAGGTACTATTTATATTGCTATTAAGCTACCAAAAAAAAGGCCTTTCTAAAGATACAGGGAAAATACCTCTCATTCATGCTTATAGGGAAAGTTGTGTGATAGAAAACAYTCCAAAATAGGAAAAGAAATACTTTAAAAGACTGTCTTGAGGTGTAATGCAGGAATTCTGTGTCCCTTCAGTTTGATGGTCCCTGTGGGTGTGACTGAGGAAGGCACAGGTGTGCTGGAGGTAACCTGACCCCCAGGAACCATTGCCCATCCCCTCTTCCCAAGGCTGGGAAGTTGTTCCCCCTGTATCCCAGACGAGCAGACACAGCATCCCTTGCAGCTCTGGGGGTCCCTTTCCCTCATGACAGGCATGACAATTGGGATTATTCCTTTCAGTCTTCATCCTCTTCTTCCACCTCTTTCCTAAATTCCTGATACTGCTGCAGAAGCAGGGCTAGCAGCCCTTACTGAAACTCTCCTGGGTTGGTGCACCCAAAGGGTTCCAAAGCTGCTTTTAGGGTTGAACATAAATATGTTTTTGTGAGTACACAGTATGCTAAAAATCCCAATTGTACTTTTGGAGGCTGAAGAGAATCACTCTTTTCTCTCTGGAGAGTGAGGCTGCTCCCTGAAGGGGTTTCACTTTGAAAGGTGAAGCTGTTCCTCCTGACAACATCTCCTGGACAGGGCACACCTCATGGACAGCACAGTGACTCTCTTGGTTTGTCCCCAAATAAGGAACATCCTTCCTGGCACACGTGGGGTGACACTGAGAAGTTCTGCACAAACCTTCCCACCTGCTGGGGTGTTTGTGTCCTCAGGGCAGAGAYTGGGATGGCCCATAAGGCTCTGGCATCACCTGCACCACAACAGGCACACAAATGATCCCATGCACTTTACAGACCTTGCTGGAAGTTTTTAAGGACTATTTTAGGGATAGATTTCCCACTCTGATTTCCTACATGGGAATTGCAGTCTGCTCTTGGCCTCACCATTGTGCTGTTCCATGATGTTCTCTGTTCAGCAGAGCACACAGGATGTGGAACCTTCTCTTCCCCATTTAATTTGAAACACTATAAAAACATGTCYATCTTCTCTGACATTCTCAGTATGATGAATGAAAGATTTTCTGCTTTGAAAAGTCTGTAAAAAGATCTGCCTTTCCCAAGTGCCTTTTTTACTAAAAAAAAGCAGATTCAATTCAATTTTGTTAGCGCTGTTTATTACCATCTCAAGATGATGGGAAAATTTAAAGAATGGCAATATACTGCTTAGAAAAAAAGAGACCCAGATCTCAAAGGGCTGCTTGTTGGGGGCAGTTTCTTTTTCTTTTTTCCCAAACTGTAGGTAATACACAAAAAAAATGATCTAGGTAGTTCTCTGCATACCTGTTGTGCATTCTTCAAAGAGGAAAATCAGCAAGCTGGGAAAGCAAATATCAGCCAACAAAAATGATTTGCTAAAAATAGTATTCAGCATGTTATCTTTTAGCTTGTTAGAAATGCAGCTTTAAAAGGTTTTTTTTCTCCGAGGCTGGCACAGCATGAAACTGTATTTAGTAGTTCAGACTGCTGTTAATGTTTCTCTATTTTTTCTCTTTGGTAATCAAGGTATTATAAGCAAAAAGTTTTTTACTCAACTTTTTCCTGTTATATATCAGAAACCTAGTAAAATGAGCAGGGCAGGTGTTTCTGAAATAAGGCCAGAGTGATGTTTAGTGTGTCTTTAAAGAAGAAAATCTTGTAATATTTTAATGTATTGGGAAATTCAGTTGGAATAGAGACCTCATGGACAGAATGTGCATTTTGCCATGGCCTGATCATGTTTTCAAACCCAGGAACTGCTGCTCCTGTTTCTGAGAGTGTAGATGGTGTGGAAGTGGGATAAGAACCAGCCCAAGAAGAATGGTTAAAAAATTGATTCGTGGCTCTGGGAAGGATTTTTGGGTACTGGTGGAGAACTGACTTGGATGGAAGGAAGGGTCTGGGGCACAGGGGTGTTGAGCAGGGTTGAGCCAAGATGAGAAGTCGAAAGCCTGAGTGATCCAAGGGAAGGGAGAGCCTTAGGAGGTGAAGAGGTGCAGACAGTCCTCATCATTACCTCATGTTAAACTCTGAGTCTTGAATCATTTTTGGTGTAGATGTTTCTTCATCAGAGAAAGCAAATTAATGAGCAGGTATACAGATCCACTTGGAGAATTTGGAATGCACATTTTTCCCCTTTTATTTCCTCCTTTGAAACTCAGGTTTACTGGTGTARAATGAACTTTAGGTATCCATCTCCACCCCACCATGACAGGGTTTCCAGGTTCCCTGGGCCAGTTTTATCTCCCAGACTGTTCCCATTGTGCCCCTCTACACTCACTGCAAACATTTCTTAAAGCCCTGAATTCAGCCAAAGGGGACTGAAGAATGAGCTGCTCTGAGCTGAATTCTGCCAAGTTCCACTCTGTCCTCCAAGGTCTGTCACCTTGGCCAATTCCCTCTGTGCTCTGGGAAATCCTAGAACAGGAGGGATGTTTGGGACATTGGATGCTTCATCCCCTTATGGAACTTGCAGAGTAGGAGAACCTGGATCAAAGATCTTACGTTAAATTTGTTGAATAATTTAGGTGGGGAGAGACYTTACAAAGTCACCTAGTCCTGCTCTTTATTTAGACAGGACTGACTTTGGAATCAAGTCAGGTTTCTCAGGATGTTGTCCAGTAAAACACTGAGTGCCTCCAAGGCTGGAGGTGCCTAGGCTCCTATGGACAAACTGTCCCTCTGCCTCACTGTAAAGCATTATTTTATCTTTTTTYCCCCTTAATTCCAGTCAGAACTTCCCTTGCTGCCATTCATGCCTATTGCTTCTTTTCCTTTTGCTGTGTACCTGCTTGTTTCCTTTGGAAAACTGAACTGGGACACAGGATTTTGGGAATCAGCCTCGTGAGGGTCAAATATTGGGGAATAATCATTTCCCTGAATGGCTGGGTGCACCTTCACTCCTGTAGCCCAGATGTGCTGATGTCACTTGGTTGGGRGCCTGTTGCTTTTGTTATAGTTTCTGATATCATTCATGTTTATTTCTCTTACAAGACTTGGATTGGGAATCGAAGACGGAAATATCGTTTAATGGGGATTGAGGTCCCACCCCCTAGAGGAGGTCCTGCTGATTTCTCTGATCAATCTGAATTTGTTTCTAAATCAGCACTTAATCCAGGAGAGGAAACTGCTACTGAAGTGGGGGATGATAATGATAGGAATGATGAAGTGTCAATCTGCTTATCTGAAGGAAGCTCACAAGGTATTTGGAATGCAGTTACTACTGTGCCTATATTTTCAATTTTGTGCAGTGTGCATGCTTTGGATTCTTTTGTGCACATTCAAAAACGTCTGACAGAGTCACAAGTGCTCCRTCCCGCCTGGGCTGAAGGTACTGTTTGGTCTCTTTCTTCTATATCTGTGTCTCTGAGTTTTGCTGGGTTTGTAACACAAAAACTGGAGAAACCTTTGATCATCAGAGCCCCATTTCTGCCAGATTCATCTGAAATGAAGTCACAAGTTCACCTTTTGCTGGTGCCRGTGAGAGCTGGGCAGACAGTACAGCTGGAAAAGCCTTATTTCCCAAGGAAGCCAGGTTTACTACATGCTCTCTGCTGACTGCTCTCCCCAGGCAGCTGGAATGGCCATTCCATGTGATACCCCATCCCTGGCAGTGTTCAGGGCCAGGTTAGAGGGGCTTGGAGCAGCCTGGGATAGTGGAAGGTGTCTGTGCCTTGGCAGGGATCAGCTCAAATGTTCCTTCCCCCAGCCCATGCTGTGGTTCCATGGCTCCATCCCTGTGCTCCTGAGTCATCCCAGGCCTGGTGGCTGTGGAGCTGCTGCTGTGGCTGAGCAGATCTGTGCATTCCCAGTTCTCCTGCAGGAATCCCTCAGCTGTGCATTCCCAGTTCTGCTGCAGGAACCCCTCAGCTCAGGCTGGAACACGGAGCTGCCCTGGCCTCCTGCTGCTCTCCCTGACAGGCAAACACAGCCCAGCAGATCAAAGCCAGGAGCAGGGACAGCTCAGGAGCCTTGGAACTGCACACACGGGGTGTCCTCAGTAAACTGCAGGATCTGGAGTGAGCAGTGCCTCCAGCTGAATTCCCTTTTCCCTCCCARGAGCACATGGGATCGATGTTTCCCTGCCCCTGCTGTCCCTGAGCYGCCTGGCACTTCCCCCTCTCACTAATTGCTCCCAGTGCTTCTGCTCACAGGAGATCAATGGAGCCTTTGCTCTCCAAACTAAAAGAAAGTCTGACCTCGGGCCTGCTGCTGCTGCAGCTCAGTGTGCCAGGCTTGATCCTGTCATTTTGTCAGAACAATTTAAAAGGAAGAGCCAGGGGAGTGGAGAGCGGCTGGGAATGAGTTTGGGAGAGCTTTGTCATATTCGACTGCAGAGAAAGATAAAGAAATGGGTCAAATGATTGAAAGCCAAGTGAGATGAGGAATCTCAGAGTCCTCGATTTGCCTGAGGTGTGGAAGGAGCTGATTTAAGTCAGATCTGCTTGAAAAAAAAATGGTGACAGGGGAAGAGTGAAGTGTCTGTAGTTGCAGTGAGGAATAACTCCATGTTTATTGAGCAAGGCTTGCATCAAACAAGGTGAGGCTGAACACTTGGGGTGGATTATTAATGTCAAAGCCTAAGGAAACTACAGGATTTCCACAGCATCCAGGAATCCCACCTTCATTCCTTTATTCTCCCTCAACAATTATTTCTATTCATTTCTCCAGTTCAAAGGAAGAGGTTTCACTGCTGCAGCTCAGCTGGTTTTGAACTTGGTGGAAAATATTTCCCCCAATACTCATGGGTTACGTTCAGTCACTGATTATGTTCAGAATTGTTTTAATGTTTGAGACTTGTAGCTTTTGGTCCTAATTTATTACAAAATAAAAACCACAAAAGCAAAAAACCACTCAGAAAGACAGAAAAAAGCAATTTTTGGTCACCTAATCTTTCCTTGGGTTGTGTTTTCTCATTGGCCTTTGAGGCCAATGGAATCATCTCATGCTTGTGCTTAAAATATCAGAGTAAATCTGCTGTTTTCAAATGTTTGTACATAAAAAAGCACTTTAAATTCACTAGGGATAAACATTTGCCATACAAAAAAGATCAGTTTTTGGTTCAAAACACATCAGTATCTGCAAGGGGGAGGTGGGATTTAGATATGTACCTCAGAATTTTGGGAAATACTGGATTTTTCAGAATTTATTTTAATTTAAAAAAAATCTACTTCTGCACACTTCTGATGYGAAACTCTTTGTCACCATTGAATATTCCATCCTGAACCTAAAAATGGGAAGGTTTTGGTACAGAGAATAACTGATGGTTTTATTGTTGTTTCAGGTAGCAGTTGGTTTGATGTTGGCCTGAAATACTTGTGCCAAGATGTCTTTTTAATAAGGCAGATATTCTGTTTTTTGAATTGACATTGATACCATGACTTTGCTGTTAGATTTAGCAGCTRTGACATTTAGTGGTAAACACCATTAGTGGTCTTTCAGCATAAAATTGGAATGAAATCTGACAAAACCAATTTATTTCTGCAGAAGAGACAAATGAAGCTCTTCAAAATGAAGAAATTTGCCACAAAGATGATGACCAGAATGCAGTTTCCACTGATAATGTGGTATGTACACCTTTCCTTTCCCACCAGTTCATTAATAACTCCTTAATTAATGTTGAGGTTGTTTTCCAGCTTCTGTCTTTTTCACTTGTGACAACTTCAGTTGGGTGTGTTAGAAGGCCTTCCTATTTGAGCATTAAAGCTGTACTAAAAATACTAAAACACAACAGAAAAAAGTTTAAAAACTTCAGTAGAAATGGTTTGTAGAGATGGTGTCCAGGAGCCTCAGCTCCCCAATCCACCTGAACCTCAGATTGTGTCATTTGATACAATCATAGGAACAAAAMCAGGGAAGAGTTTCTTCATACTTTGTTTTGAAAGCACTGTAACAAAACTTTTTTAAAATGCACTTAAAATTGGACTAAAATACATTGGATTTGCATTAGAGATCCAGATTTCCTATTTGAAATTCTAATTTGTTCTTTCCTCTCCTATCTTAAAATATGTGGCTAAGAAAGAGAGTGTGAATGTTTGGCAGTTCTTTCCTCATTTGAGTCTAAAACCAAAAATATTTGAATCACAGTGTCACTGAGGGTCTGATGGAGCAGCAGAACTCRGGGACATCAAACCCCTGAGCTGATGACAGTGCAGCTGGGCTGTCAGACACTGGAGCACAGAAAATGTGCTTTATCCTCCCTGCCTTCAGCACAGGCTTGGGAGCTTGGTGGGTGCTGCCAGGGAGAGCTGGGAACCCTCTGGAAGGGATTCTCAGGGGAATTGCTGGTGTGCAGGCAGGAGGGACCACRTGCTGCAGGAAAAACCTCAGGAATGATCCGTGAATGTGGATAGGATCACTGGGGACCCTTCCCTTCACTGGGTTAAACACTACCCTAAAAAATGTTTCAATTGCTTTAATTTATTATTGACAGGCTCATAAGTGTTTACAAAAATAGTAAAGAAACTTGGGACATATTCTGAGTTTTAATCAGTGTTAAGCTTGGCCTTAATACTGTGCTTTAGGTGTCTTTAGAAACCCAGTATGAAAAGCTCCCCAAATTTTTGTGAATTAGGTGAAAATGTCAATCTTTATGCATTTGGAAGTGTCTTTTAGATCACCCAGGGTATTTCACTTGCACTGTGGCCAGGGAAGGCGGGAGGAGAAGTCCTTGGTTTCTTTAGGCCAGGAGGAGTCAGGAGTTGCTGTGATGGCTGCTTTGTGCAGAGGGATGAACTCCCAGACCCTCCTTTGCAGCAGCAGCGCAGAGCAGGGGCTGAGAGGGGTAAATGAGCAGCTTAAAGCCAAAAAGCTGGGCTGGGGAGCTCCTCCTGTGTCAACAGCCCGAGTCTCCATGGCAGCAGCTCTGCTGGATCCCGCTGGATGTGCTGCTGAGGTGCATGATTGCCATCTAATGGGGGCTGCAGGGCTCAAACTGCTCAGGAGCCAGCACAGAGAGTCCTGTTCTTCATCCTGCATCCTCCCTGCATTCTTCATCCTGCATCCTTCCTGCCCCTTTGGGGTGCACATCCTCTTTGGTTTGTCTCCTCTGTCCGCTGGAATCTCCACAATGAGCTGTTTGCTTCTGTTTCAGAAAATAGAAATTTTAGATGATGAAGAGAGTGATCTGATCAGCAATTCTGAAGTGGATCAGATGAGTTCTCTTTTGGATTACAAGGTGAGTGGTCGGGCTGTGTCAGGGACAGCAGGAAAATCCCCAGGGAGTTCTGGGGGTGCATCTGGAAGGAATTCASCATCTGTGGGATCCTGCAGCTCCTCTGCTGTTTTCCTGATGTGCACATCATTCCCCAGTCCCACCTCCAGCCACATTATCCATGTTTCAACCCCAATGGAGGCAGGAAAACCCCATTTCTTCAGAGCTGCAGCTTCCCCTATTTGCCCCAACAAAGGGATTTATGGAGCCACTACACCAGAATTATTCCTTGGAATGCTGCAATGCTTTCCCTGCAGCGTGGAAGGSACTGAGCAGCTGGAATCCTCTGATGAAATGAGGGGATCTGAGGAGAATTCATTCCTCAGGACATGCCTGGAAGTGGTTGTGGGAGGGAGGAGAAGTAGTTGGATCCTGACAGCTCCTGTCTCCTGCCACAGGGGGAGGGTTGTATGTGTTGCTGTTCTCCCAGGAGTTGCCACAATTTTGTATTTCCTTGAGTTTTTACCTCCATTTCTGATTTTTTTCCCTGAGAAACCAGGTCTGTTCTCCTGACAATAATCAATTACCAAAATAATAAACAGATCATCTCTTCAGAACAAAAATTCCTCCTTCCAGCAGTGTTTTCCTGGGAAGGGCAGTGGAGAATGAATCAGGAGAGGGAATGACCTTTTCTTAATGTCACCTGTCAGCRCAGTGAAAGGCTTGTTGTGACAGTGCCCTGCAGAGCCAGGCCTGTTGTTTGACAGCACTGATTAATCCTTGACTTTTCTGCCTAAATCTGAATTCTTCCTGGGCTGGGCAAACCAGGCAACTGCTAAGTTTCCATCAGGAAGAACTCAGCTGATTTTTTCTGAAAGCCTCAGAATCACAGCCCAAATATTCCTCTCCCATTCCCAGAGCTGTTATCACCTGAAACAGTTTGGTGAGCAGTGCTTTCACCGGAAAAATATTAATTTTCTGTGAAAAAAACAACAAAAACACAACCATTTTTAAWGGTTTGTTGCAAACCTTTAGAGCATCATGTAGTCTCAGCTTTTCCTATCAACTAAAACTGAATTCCAGCCAGTCTAGAAAGTGTGAGCATGAATATCATATTTTTTCATTTTTCTCTCATGAGCTGGTGCTATTAAGCAGAGCCCTTCTGCAAAAATGAGCAATGCCTTTGATCTTGTAACCTAAATAGTTTGATTTTAGTGATCTATGCAAAGGTGAATAACTGGAGAAAATTAATTTTAGCTCTGCACTGGTCAACAGGTTTAGCATCTTGATCCTATGTRCCAAGAAGTTTTAAGGAGAAGAGATACTTGGAATAACCAGAAGTGTTTATCAATCTGATTTTTAATTAAGTGATTTGCAAGTACAGATTGGAAAATGCCTTTTTAGCCAAAGCATACAAATTACTGATAYTTCCTCATTTTGTAATATCCATCCATTTCCTGCTCCATAAACAATTCTGTGGAGGTTGGAGCTAAATGATCTTTAAGRTCSCTTCCAAACCATTYTGTCACTGTGTGATATTCCTGTTTATTCTGTTTATTCTGTAACCCCAGGGATCCTGAGGAGCTTGGTGAGCTGACACTTGATCCATGTCAAACCCAACTGCACTGGAGGATGTTATCTTTAATTCCTGGTAGCTTTGAGGAATTCTCAAGTCCTTTTCCATGGTTTTTGTRTCACTCCTCTTGCTGCAATAATGGAATTTATTTGCTGTCTCTGATCACTTCTAGGAAGAGATCTGGGCTTTGGTTGTCATTTTAATTTAAAACATTTAGTTTTAACCCAGGTTTATTTAGGTGTGGTTTTTCCAATGCTTTATCCCATCCCTATCCCTGGAGAGATTTAAGAGACACTTGGGGACACGGGGAATGGTTGGGCTCAATCTTAGAGGGCTTTTCCAACCTGAGGGATTCCATGATTCTGTGATTATTCCCAAAAGTCTCTGATTTCCCACAGAATGAAGAAGTCAGGTTCATTGAGAGTCAGCTGGAGACTCACAAACAGAAATATTTYGAACTGCAGACGTTTACCCGGAGTTTGATACTTGCAATCAAATCAGATGATAAAGAACAGCAGCAGGTAAATCCTGGAGCAGGTTTAACATCAGAAGGTGTTTGTCYTTTTGTGTTGTGTCCTTCCTTGGGTTTATCCAGAGGCTCAAATTATGATTGAAATTAWTTTTTTCACTCTTGTRTYTAAAGCACATTTGACATAAAAAACWYACTTAAYAGGKTATATACTATATTTTAGATRTGTTCTTCCCCTCRCAGGCCCTGCTTTCAGACTTACCTCCTGAACTTGAAGAAATGGATTTCAACCACACATCCCCGGAGCCCGACGATACCTCATTCAGCCTCTCATCCCTGTCAGAGAAAAACGCCTCAGACTGTTTGTGATTTCTTTTTTTGGGAAGTGACAGAACACAAACCCCACGGGAGGTGCAGGAGTCAGGAGAGGCTTTTGCTCTGCAGTGTTGCTCAGCCCAAGGGAGCCAGGCCAGGTGGAGCAGCCCATGCTGGAGGGATTCCCAATATTGGGATTGGGAAATCGTGGAACTGGCTGAGGGAAGGGTTCACTTGGAGCAGCTTGGCCTCGGGTAGGATTAACTTCTGACTCTCCAGAATAACTCTGRCTCTGTAGCAAAGTCTTTTTGAGCAGGGATGCAAGAGTGGAAAACAAATGCTGTGTGACATCCAGCGAATTCTTCAGCGTCACCTGCTCCCCAGGCCTGTTTATTATATTTTTCCCCATTTTTACTCAGGTAGGTGGACTAAAAATTGGGGATTCAAATAGAATAACGGGCTTTCTCTGAGTTGTGCTTGAAAACCTGACATTAAACTGAAGTGTTTTTCATTTTTTTGACTTGAGATTGTTAAATCTTCCATTTTTCTGACCAAAATAGCTGGAAAAAAACCTTGAAAGGCTAACTGAAAAAATTGAATTATCATCAATAAATTATTAATGCAAAGAAGCAGTGATAAGTGTTGGAAGAAATGAGCTGGAAATGGGAACCCTGATAGCTGCAGGACACAACTTCTTAATACAGTAGCAATGGGATTGGATGTTTACACTCTTTAGAGTTTAATGATTGTAGTCACAGTTTTTATTTGTCAAAGCCTGAATGCTTGAGTTCTGCTTATTATTTTAAGTCTTGGTTGTGTATTTTTTCCCCAAACTTTGCTCCAGTTTTCCAAGCCAGTCAGAATTCCACAGCTGTCATTACATCCTGGAACGTTTTCCAGTGTTTARAAGTGAGTTTTGCAGATCTGGTTTGAAGCCCTGCCTGGTGGATTTTTTTGGCAAGTGCCATTTCCAAACTGTGATCTCGAGTGCATGCAGGGCCTGAACTGAATTTGAATCCCTTCTTTCCCAGAGCTGTTGGCACTGAATCCCCTCTCTGCTCTGGTGGGATGGATGTGCAGAGATGTTCAGCTGGAGTCAGTGGGGTGTGTTTGTGTCCCAGGAATGTCCAGCCCTGGCAGTGGTGCCATGGTTGAGTTGCCAGCCTGGTGATCAGTCCAAGGCTGGGCTCAATCCTGGAGCTCCTTCCCTCCACGATGGTTCTGTTGGATGCTGCAGGTGCCTGCCCATGGCATTGCTGCTCCAATTCCAGCCTGGATATCCCTCAGTGAGCRTTTTCACACAGATGCTTCAGTCTGGTAAAAACCTGATCTTCCCATTTTATGCCAAATAGTAATTGACTGTGGGGAATCCTTCGTGCAGTGATTAATCCCCTTCATTTCAGTGGGAGGTCCAAGATGTAGCTCAGAAAATCCAGAGTGTTGGGCAAATAACACCTTTTTTTTTTTCTTTAATACTGGGATTAACTTGGGTTTTAGGTTTTTCTCAGGCTGATCAGTTCCTCCCTAATCACTTGTACAGCTCTTTGTGTTTTGTATCAGTAGTGAGCTCTTTCTTTCAGGTTTTTAGTCTCTCCTGTCCTTGGGCATGAGGAGYTTTTAGCAATACTGTTCAATACCAGCTGTAGAAAGGGCAGGACCAGTTTTAAAGGTGTTCTGAAAAACCAAAAGTCTCACAGTTCTGCCCCCTGTACAGTTCTGTTTGTTCCCAGCAGAGCTGCCYTTCCACAGAGTAACCCTGGAATTCCAAGCTGCTGGGCCAAGGTGTGAGTTGAAGGATTAAAACTGGGAATGGAAGTTGGGGTTTGTGAGCAGAGCTTCCAATTCTGTCCTTCACAGGGCAGATAGAGCTGAGCTGCAATTCTGCTCGCTCTGAAAAACTCCTTTATGAAGGGTTTTCTGTGCCAGGCCAACAATGGTTTCTATGGCTGTTCTCTCTGGACAGGAAATCTGTGCCACTGACAATGAAACCTCTTGTTTTCTGCGAAATTAAAAAAATACTGCTGTGATTTGCCACTATTGCACCCTGTTTTCCTACTTCTTAAATTCCCACGACAGAAAGCAGGATACTCTTAACAGGAGTTCTCAATTTCATGGTCAATTAAATCATCCACCTTCCTGCAAGAAAAACTTCCATTGATGATTCATATTTTGYTGTCTTGCTGCTATTTCATCCCCAAACAAATGGAAGGAATGAATTTTGAATGAACTGTTTGTTAGATACAAGCAATTATGTCGGTCCCTGTTCTCCAGGAAGCTGAAAGAGCTTCACTCCACACCCACCCCATCCCTGGGGGATGTTCTGTGGTCCTTTCTCTTGTAGGGAAACAAAACACAGCGAGGCAGCAATCCCCTGCCACACCTGGGATGCTTAACAATACTACAGGATAGTCAGGAAAAAAGAGAATTAATTCCCTTCCTGGATAACAAAGTGCTGGGGAGGAAAATACAGCTCCTTGACTGGGATTTTTTTCAATGTCAGTGYGTATTTCCAACAAAAATCTAGTGAYTGTTACCATTAGTGGTATTTAAWTRTTGGYRGAGAGCAGTGGGGGTGGCTCTGGGGTGAATTTGGGTTCTGGGTGTTTCCYCTGGATGGTAACAGACACCTTGTTAAGTGCAGTTCATCATTTCATAACCTTCTGTAGGAGATAAAGCTAATCCTAGTCTCTTCGGGGGGACAGAAATCACCCTCCTCTCTGTTCCAGGGACTCTAATCTGAATTCTCACTGCAGCACAAGGGCCACGTGGTGATGGATTTATCACCTTTCTATGGCCACGTGTGGTGTTTCCTCATCCTGCAAATTCTGTCCATGAACAATGACTTCCCTGGCATCATTCATTCCTAAARCATCCATGGGAGCATCAGTGATGTCCTTTTGAGGAAACCCAGCTGGGAAAGGAGCTCAGAACAGACACTTGAACCAGAGGCAGGACAGGCTCTCTCCTGGGAGCTGTTTTGGTGCTGGGAAGTTTGTTCATGTTTAAAATGCTGTTTCTTGGAGCTCTGCCTCCATTCCTTCCCTGCAGGTGATGCTTCAGTCACATCCATGGGTCTGACAGGAGTAACAGTAACAGGAAATACTCAATAAAAAGTAAATACTCCAATAAACCAGTAAATACCCTGATAGGTGAATTTGGGGAAGTTTTAAAGGTGCCTGAGCAGATGAACTGGATGAGGGTTCTGGAGCACTCAGCCCTGGGGGCAGCTCTGCACTTTAATCTTTCCAAGTATGTCTTTTCATGAAGGCAATAAAAAGTGTGAAATGAGGAGTTTGGAGGCTTTGCAGTGAGTGAGGAAGGGAATGTCCTGGTTCTGTGTTCACCCTGAGCTGGGCAGCAGCTTCATGGAGATCTCCAAGGGGAGCAGCTGTGTGTGCTGGGCTCAGACAGGTGAGGGATGGAACAAAGCAGCAGCATCAGGGAAATCCTGCCTTGGGAATGGGAATTGGGGCTTCAAATGGATCTGCTCTCCCTTCTGGGATCTCCTGCACCACCTGTGTCCCTCATGCTGAGCACAAACCCTGCACAGCACTGATCTTCCTCTTGGCATTGCAGACAGAGCCACCCGAGGAGGAGGGACAGGAATGTGCGTTAAGGGGATGGCACAGAATCCCTGGAACTGGAACAGTTCATAACTTGTTCCATCCCAAAGCTTGCTGTCCTATCTCCAGCCCCCTGCCCAGCTCCCCCAGGCCAGCAGGGACTCGGGGGCTGAAGGGTTGGAATTTGGCCAGATCCTGCCTTTTGTGCCCCAAATCCCCCCAGCTCAGCTGGGAACAAAGTTGGGGGGTGTTTAGGGAGGAAACTCCACCTGGTTACCAGAGAACACAAGCTGGGTTGCGGCCTTTGGTTTCTCAAGAAAATTTTACCACATTGGCCAAATCTGAAAAGTTTTGAAGAAAAAAAATGGACAAAGCAGCACTACAAAATGTTTGTTTTGCATGGCAGAGCAGGGGTTTGGCTGAGCATTTGTTGCTCTGAAAAGCAGCAGCTGCTTTGATCAGAAGGCGACAGAGAAACGGGGCAGAGCTTTGGGCTTGGGGTTCTTTTCCCACAAAGGAGCAAATCCTCTGGGCTGAATGAGGTGTTTTAGGATTTTCCTGGAAGGAARACAGTTCAGGTCAATGCTCTGGCTCTGGGAGCAGTTTCCCACCTTGCTGAACGAAGTAAATAACTTTTCCAGCTCTGTTTTACATTTTTACACAATGCTACCTCTGAAACATGACACCCCTTAAACCCACAGAGAAAATGTGAATATAGGAWTTTTTTTTWWAACCTTTTATAGGCAATAAATTATTCCCAACATGTATCCTTCGGCTTTGTGCTTGGTTTTAGCTGAGTGTGGGCCATTCACTTTGGTTTTATTTTAGTGCTATTTTTCTGTATTTGTGTTCACCACAATCCGTGGACAAGGAAATGATGGGATTTTAGGGGAAAAAGCTTAGCATATGTTAATGGGAATAAATATTTATCTTAAAGCTGAAGGATGATGGGGTGGCTGTGCTGATTTTGGTGCAGTTGCTGTGAGAAATGGGTATTATCCTTAATTGTGATATTAATGATTGTTATTGCTCAGTGCATCAGACTAATGAATCTGAGACAGCAGTGATCTCAGCACTGTAAGGAAAAGGATTTTACACTTTATGAGACGTCACAGTTCATGAATACCTCTTCAGATTTTTGTTTCAGTTGTTYCCTTTTTTGGCATAACTTTATAGAGACCTTTTAGAAATCATTTTGAAGTGTTTAATGAAAATGGATCAGTAACAAGCTGAGGTCAAATGTGGATTTAAGATGATGTTGGTATTCGAGTTCCATCTTAAAGGAGTTCCTGGAATTTCCCCTGTCACATTTCTGTCCCTGGAACATGGGGAGAGGTGGCAGGATGCACAAGGGGGATGGAGGGAATGAGGCACAAGGAGGCAGAAATGAAGGTTCTGGGTTTTAGTCAATAAAATTTCAATAAATGTAAAGGTTTCTATGCTGTGGAAAGCGAAAGCTTCTGCTTTAGCTGCAGATTTTGTGAAATACAATTCAAAAAATCATTGGTAAATCCACTGAGTTGTGCTGGGAGAAAATTGKCTTCCCCAGTAGGAATTTTATAATTTCTGGGGTTATTTCTGGAATTACTGAGTGTGTGTGAACACACAGATGCAGATTACAATGTGCACAGATAYACTGAACTTGATCCCAATGGCTCCATAAAGGTATTTGAACTTGAAATGTTAATGTAATTCTTCTAAAATATATTTCATTTGCTCTTGTTTTTATGTCTTGCTGTATATCAATTACATAGTTCTGAAAATTAGTCAAATACATCCATACAAATATGGTTTATTGTTTATGTCCTTGCAAAACTGGTAACTTTTAGGCTTGGAAATCAATGAAAATGCCCATAATAATGATACTTCTAAGTGATCTTGGCAAATAAACAAACTGCTGTATTTATGAAGAGATAATGACTCTTCTGCCATGATAAYTTCTGCTTTATTTTCACTTTAGGGATCAGTTTCATTTAAAAAAATATAGTCTGAAAATTTAAATGTTATTGTACAACTTGGATGTTTTCCTTAGCCTACAAAACAATAGAATTGACAATTTAAAACGTTTTACCATTTCCTTCTGGGCCAATTCCATAYGCTTTGCAACCTGAGTGTATTCCTGAGTTTCTCTGTGAAAATCACTATTTATATTGCATTTTTATGATTTATGATTTATTATCAGTACGTGTAGCAACAAAACTACTACAAACCTTCAACGGAAGTACCTCCACTACGGTCCAGGACAGCTGATCTGGGCATTCTGAGTGCCAGATCCCAGAGAGCCGGTCCAGACGTTTGTATTCAGTTGGTTTTCTGTGTATATAAAGGGTATTTATAATCTTGTATTAACAGAGTCATCATTGGAAATGCTGATTTCCTGCTTTAGAAGCCTGCTCAGCTATTTTTCTATAAAACGTTGGTCTTCGCCTTAATTTTTTTTTTTTTTTTTGGTGAAAAGTTGTGCCATAGATATTTTAACTTATCCACAGATTCTTTACAGAGTTTGCTTTAACTTCTCTTTAGTTAATTATTTTTACCCCGAATTGCCCTAATTGTTTTCTCTTCCAAATGCATCTCAAGGTTGGTTTGCTTTCTTAATTATTTTTTTTTTTTTTAAGTTTTGGAAGATCCCTTCATCTGCATGCTTTGGTAGCTCGAGTTTTTCCTCTGTAGTTTATTGTTTATAGTTTAGAAGAACCTTTTATTGAACCCCCCCAAAAGTAATGCTTGTACAAATGTATTTAGGGTGGCCCAGATGGTCAGAGAAAAGGGCTATTTAGCATTGGTAAATTTGTCTACTGACTCAAGGATATTTTTCTACGTCTGTCATGTTTGGGACTATGGAGAAATGAAATAAAGGTGAACTAACTCCTTTTCCTATATGAACTTCTCGGTTTCTGTGTTTATTATGGCCTTGTCAATGTTCAGAGCAGCAACAATTAAATCCACGTTAGGGTTTGGCCCTGATTCTTCAGTTCCTGCCATGTAAATTAATTTATTATTTATGGAATGGTTTTTCAGAATTAGAATTTTGTACAGAAACTGGAACCCTCTGTCCCAGGAGCAATGAAATATTGTCACTCCCAAAGTAGGGATTTGTGTCCACTGCAGGCACTGCACCCCCAGCACTGGCACAGCTCAGTTCAGGGGAAGGGGCCTGAGTTGTGGGGATTTTAAAAGCTATTTTAGAGCTAAATATGAGCCATTTGTGCTCTTTTCATCCCATTCCTTGCCATTTCCTAACTTAAAAATCTCCAGAGTTAAATCCCGTAGCCTCTGACCTCAGCCCCAATCCACGCGGATGGCAACTGGGAATGCTGTTCTTGCTGATGGTTGGCTTTAGGAGCAATTCCGGTGCTGAAAGTCACAGCCCGGGTGTCCCATGCAGCTCCGAGCATGATACCACAGCTGAGGGACAGGATTTAGATTTAATCCAAACCCAGGAAAAAGGAAAAAGAGCCGGAAGGGACCCTATGGGAAGGGCTTTGGTGGCAGGGAGCACCCCGGGATGGTGCGGGCGGGGATACGGGAACAACCCGGAATGGTGAGGGCAGGATGCAGGAGCGATGTTCAGGGATACAGGGGCGATGTTCAGGGATACAGGGGCGATGTTCAGGGGTACAGGGGCGATGTTCAGGGATACAGGGGCGATGTTCAGGGTACAGGGGCGATGTTCAGGGATACAGGGGCGATGTTCAGGGTACAGGGGCGATGTTCAGGGATACGGGGGCGATGCTCAGGATACAGGGGCGATGTTCAGGGTACAGGGGCGATGTTCAGGGATACAGGAGCGATGTTCAGGGATACAGGGGCCATGTTCAGGGATACGGGAGCGATGTTCAGGGATACAGGAGCGATGTTCAGGGATACAGGGGCGATGTTCAGGATACAGGGGCGATGTTCAGGATACAGGGGCGATGTTCAGGGATACGGGGGCGATGTTCAGGATACAGGGGCGATGTTCAGGGTACAGGGGCGATGTT